AGAGAGAGAGAGAGAGAGAGAGAGAGAGGTGTCTGCATGCTGCACTCCACACCAAAGCGCTGTGAAAGCATCTCCAGTTGATTTTGATTAGATTTTCTTCCTAGAAAGGCTGAAGTAGGGGAGTTCTTAATGAATGGCTTAGTGACTGATTGCACAACAAGTTAAAAGTGAAAGATGCGCTTCTATTAGGCTGCTGAAAAAGAAAGCTGAATCAGAGCAGTATGAAGATATCACTTACAGAAAGTTGGTTTCTAAAGCATTTTCTAAGCAGTCGAAATTAAAGATCCCTCTTGCAATCTTAAGGAGAAGAAGCTTGAATATTGAAATGGACACACCTTGGTCATGAATGGTCACTGTATGTGTGAGTTCGTTTTAGTGTGATAGTGTGTGAGTGGGTGTGCATGTATGCTGTTTTTTTGTGTTTCGGTGTCTGTGTGTTTGTATGCCTGTGTGTTTGAAAGGTGTGAAGCAGCAGGAGTAGTAACAGAAAAAAGGAAGTGCAATAAATACAAGTGTGTGGTGAGGAGAACGTTCTGACTGGGGGCGAATTTGTCTTTCGAAATTCAAGTGTTAACTTATTCACATGTGTTGTATATATGTACTCATTGAAGATGTTTGATTGACTGATTTGAGCATGTTTGACGGGTTTGACAGGTTGGATAAGCACAGGATTCATGGTCTGGTGTGCGTGCGTTCTCATCACATAGTTACCTTTGCTTTATACAGCAACGACTATTAAATGTGTATACCTAAGAGTGTTTCATGTACCGTAAGTGACACATGGTTCACTTGTGTGTGTATGAATTAGTGTGTGATTGTTTGAATCTGTGCATACGTGCGTGCGTATGTGCCTGCGTATGTGCCTGAGAAAGGATTCAGTGTGTATGATCTGGTGTGCATGTCTTGATAATGACAAGTTTTCACTGAGCTGGGCTGTACCCTGGCTTAGTAAATTGAGGAACATTTTCCGTTTTGAAATCATTGCTGCATTTCTTCATGACCAAAAAAGTCTTTACCACCTTGTATTATTGTTCATATTCCTATTCTCTCATCGTTGTCATTGTATTCATATCCATCATGTGTATTTGGAGGTGGACTTGGTGAGTTATAGATTATAAACCTAGGAAATTATTCCCGTATGATATTATTACAGTTCTCTCAGCTAACTTTGCTTTATTTGAGTGGAACTTTCTATTTGAACCATGATCATGCTAAAGGAATGGCTCTTTCAAATTGATCAATTTACAAAATGTCTAAAAATAATTTGTAAAGACTCCGATTTTATCCATAAATGTTTGGGACGGTGACTGAAAAAATGGCAGTAAAAATTTGTAGGAAAGTCTTTTTAATTTTAATTTTTTAAATTGTAGAAACATAGGAAATTAATTTTAAGCAGCCTTAGTGTAGGTATTTTTTTGGGGTAATTTTAAAGGCATTTTTAGCACTCTTGGGTCCAGAAATTTCGAAGAGTGAGGTACTATTTCTTACACTTGATGATCTGGCCGAATCAAAAACAGTTAATTAATTGTCTGGACCTGAAAAATAACAGAATCTGTATCAAGTGTCGTAAATAGAATCTTCTTTTTTTTATGCATGTCAATTGGGGTTTCATATTTCGTTGGGTTGCTGACGTACCTATATTTAGACATCTTGTCTGCAGAGATTTTAAAACTGGAAGATTTTTTGACTTGTTTGAATTTTATCAAGACCCTTTTTCGAGGAAGGCAGGGGAGGGAGAGATGCAAATTTTTACTCATGTCTTGCACTGAAACATGTCTATGGGTATAATAAAACTTTAGAAATTGTGTCATTTTATGACTGTTTCCTTTTTATGAGGAGATGTGAGTCTTACCTTTGAAATAAAATTCTTCATTGCTTACTCATACCACAGTGTTAATTTTCTGTTGTGTACTAATTTTGCCTGTTTTTGGTACTTTTGACTTACTTTTGTAAGTTTAAAGTAATGACCACATTGTCAATTTTGACTGGTGTCTGTGCTGTTGTGGTTAGGGGCTTTGCAATCACACAGAAGATCCGAGTTCGATTCTTGTATGGAGAGAATTTTTTAAGGAGTAGGCCTATTTTGGTCCTTCTGCTATGACGCTGTATCCCTCTCAGCCTGAGTTAGGTTTCTACAGACAGGGTTGGAACCCACCTCCTAAATGGTTTGAATTTTGTTGATGGGAGTGTAAAACCTCTACATTTTAAAAGTAAAATAAAATATGGTGGATTTTGAGGCAGAGAGTGCTTGGAGGCAAGTCGTAGTTGTAAGATTTGTTGGGCACGTTTGAAATGGCATTGAGCGACTATTTTTGTTTGTCCACTTTTCAGTGGCAGATTTATTACTTTGCCGGACAGAGTTATTACTTTGCCGGACAGACTTATTACTTTGCCGGACAGAGTTATTACTTTGCCGGACAGAGTTATTACTTTGCCGGACAGAGTTATTACTTTGCCGGACAGACTTATTACTTTGCCGGACAGACTTATTACTTTGCCGGACAGAGTTATTACTTTGCCGGACAGACTTGTGGGTTCAATTCTTTTGCTCAAAATGACGGTATGTAATTGTGAGTGCCGTGAAACTCTTACCAAACTAAGAACTCGGCTGGTTTCACTGTTTTTGAGACCGACATTTAGTACAATTTTGAGGCGTTGTGGTGAAATCAGGCGTTCGTCAGAATAATAAAATAAAGAAATTTGCGTTTTGTCCGCCAGTTTGGCAATTTTTAAAATAGAATTTTTATTTTTTGGCTCAACGCCTTTTTTGCCCAGAAAAAAACAATTTAGATAGGAATTTTACAAAAAACATTGGTTTAAGGCACAAAATATGTAATTTTTCAGTTTTAAGAACTCTCCAGCTGTTGAAGTTACCAGACTTTTGCGACCATTTTCTTGAAAATTTTATCACTGACCCCATCCCCTCCTTCAAACATAAATATCTTGACTTCTATTCAAGATAGATGGCTAGTGTTTTCATTGACAACAAGGCAAACGAGTAGGCTAATCTTTCAGCCTATACCAACTCCATATGCCCAAAATTGATTGAGCATGACACGCTTGCGTTTGTCACATAAAAGATTTTGCCACGTGTTACTGTTCATTAACGTAATCTATACATATATAGGACAAAGCAGTGATCAGTCGTTTTTTGTGTGTGGTAAAAAAAATCTCAACCCTACTGATCAATACAGTTGCTTGTGAAGTAAAAAATCTTAACAAAACAATACAAACGAACAGCCTACTGTATTTCATACTCCTTTCCCCCACACACACACAAAAATGGAAGATAAAAAATATTCCTTATTGACAATTGAAGAATGTCCTGTTCTTTGTGACAAAATTTAGATTTCTTACAGAAGTTATACTGCCGAAGCTTGGACTGAAGTGTAGTTACATAATGATATCAACCCCAGCTTTGAGCATCCAGTCTTTAAATTTTGAAACAGATGAGCAATTTCCTGAAATATATTATTCTTACTACGTAAAATGGGCAAACCCTGTGGATTCGGGCGGCTTTCTGTTTTGTCATAGTCATATGTGCAACAGCTACAACAAAGGCAACATGTTATCTCTCAGTGATGGAAATGATTCTTAAATGACTGCAGGCATTGTATAGTCTTTGTATAGTCAGCTACTGTAGCACAGTCTGGAGTAGAGGAGGGGGGGGGGGCAAAAAGAGAGAAGGAGAGGAGGGGGGGGGGCAAAGAGAGAGAAGGAGAGAGACAGAGAGAAAGAGTGAGATGAAGACAAATAGAGAAAGAAAAAGAATGAGAGGGAGACAGAGAAAAAGAGAGAGACTGCTAAATGGAAACAAACAAACTGTGGAGAGTATAAAGTAAGAACTAAGTCTTTATTAATGAATAGATTCAACAACAACACATTCTCCAACAACTGGTCTCCAAGACTGCGCGGCCTCGGGAGATCTGGGTTGTTGTGTAAGAGTTGTGTACATCATGACACAGAGAAACCACCACGACAGAAAGAAGTCTACACTGGCACAACGTGCACATATGGCAGTCCTTCGCAAAGTACGATTAGTTCACACTCGATAGTTCATCACCAGCGCCTGCATTTGTCAGAGTCATCATGATCAGGGTTTATCAAAGCCAAAAATTGACTTTGCTTCCCTGTCTGTTACATTTGAACTAAAATAAGATT